ATACAACCTCAACAATATATGTAGTATTCCAAAATCAATCATCACAAACAATAAATAAAAATATGTACTATTAAATATTTACAAAAATATAAGTGTTATGACACAACAAAATGTAATATTTATGTTCAAGAAAATACAACTATTGTTCCATTTTGATAAGTTATATACTATTATTTACTTTACTAAATTCCTAACTATAGTTTAAATATTAGAATAGACGTGAATTTTTAAATATACAAATTTAATGTAATATTATAGGAAATAACATAATACATATCTCTTCCAAACTTTGAATATTTTTGCTTTTTATATATCCACCATTAGACTCAATCCTAAAGAAATTTAATAAATTATAACATTTTCAACTTGGGTAAATCACAGTCGACATCAGTTTAATATTATAATTTTATCATAAAATACATTAAAATTAATAATTTGGAAGTATATTTTTACTTCCACATCATGAACAATTTTTTGAATGCAAAATGAAATCACTTGAAAAGTATATCACAAACATTATTGGTATTAATTAGGATGTAATATCAGGAATGGCCAGGTGGTTAGGGCGCTCAACTCACAATCTGAGGGTCACGGGTTCGAATCCTCGTCACACCAAACATGCTCGCCCTTTCAGCCATGGGGGGTGCTATAATGTGGCGGCCAATCCCACTATTCGTTGGTAAAATAGTAGCCCAAGAGTTGGCGATGGGTGGTGATGACTAGCTGCCTTCCCTCTAATCTTACACTACTAAATTATGGACGACTAGCGCAGATAGCCCTCGTGTAGATTTGCGCGAAATTCATAATAAACAAAAAAACAACACTATACTGTCCACCCACTAAGTCTTTTTAGTGGTTTTCTCTTCCGAGACCCAGAATGTTATAAAGATGAGATTGTCTATTATCCTTTGTCATCATTGGCTCTCTTGTCCCTAGGGGAGTTCTTCTAGAGTAAATGATCAAGTGAAGCCACTGGTGGCTTCATCCTTGATGATCATCTAGAAGTATTCTCGACAGAAATCTTGGACTCCTTGGCAAGCCAACATTCCACTCACAAATTCTCTGCTGGAGTTGCCCTTGGCCATTCTCTTATTGACATACTTCCAAAGATCACTATGATGGATGATCTTAGGCTTGAATCGCCTATCCTTTTGGAATCTGTAAATGATATCATTTGTTTTCTTAGTACAATGTATGGCCCTTCTAAACACCTACTTAACTTTAGAGTTAGCCCTATTTTGCGACAAGAACTGTTCAGGCATACCATGTCACCGTGACGAAATCAAGTTTTATCAGCATTAAGATCATAGTTACCTTTTGTTTCGTAACGAGCTGATATAATTCTTTCTATGTAAAGTCAAGTATGACACCTTTATTTTTCACATTCATGAGAGCTTTCCCAACTACCATTTCCTCAGAATATGCCTGAGTATGTGGTTCAACTAAGCCCCAGTCAATGCATGTAAAATTTACCCTAAAAACCTCTGGTACGAGTGTTTCACTTCTTGGTGGCATAATGACCACCCTCTCTGTTGCCACGGAAAGTTCAATCTCTGGTGTAGTATTTGGCATGTAGGACATGAATATTATTTCCTGGTCATAGACTGTGAATTTATTTAAAGTTAGTCTAACCTCATATTCTTGTCTATGCAAGAAGTCAATTCCCAAGATGCACTCTTCTTCAATGTCAATTATCCACAACTCATGAGGTGAAGAAAAGCTTCCCAAGTAAGGATAACTTCCAACTCTTTCTTGCTTGAACTATATATAAGATCACCTGCTGTTTTGCATCAGCCCCTCTTCTTTCTTCATATCTGGGGGCAATTTTCCACCTTTCGATAACAAATTAGGTCGTAAAATTGTAGCTGTAAAACCAATATTAATCACCATACTGCAAGGCATTACCATCAGTAAGCCCATGGACTATTTTTCTCAAGTAATAAACTTATTTTTTTTTTGGGGTAGATGGAGCATTCCAAACTGAACTTCACTTAATTAATTCAGTTAGTTCCTGTCATGGTGACTGGTTAGTCTTTTGTTGTTCCTTCTATCTGGTTGGGCTTAAAGACTCATCCTTAATATTGTCTCCTTAACTTAATAATAACTGTTGTAATGGCCATATTTCTCACAGTTATAACAGTTTCCTCTTTCTGTTATCCTAAGGGGGGAGGTTTTCTTCCATATTGTCTTTAATCTAAAGTGGCTTGCAATATATTCTTTCAAGTTACAAAGTTTGTTTGTTTGTTTTGAATTTCGTGCAAAGCTACACAAGGGCTATCTGCGCTAGCCGTCCCTAATTTAGCAGTGTAAGACTAGAGTTATCACCGCCAACTCTTGGGCTACTCTTTACCATCGAATAGTGGGATTGACCGTCACATTATAACGCCCCCACGGCTGAAAGAGCAAGCATGTTTGGTGGTGGGGGGAATTCGAACCCACGACCCTCAGATTGCGAGTCGAGCACCCTAACCACCTGGCCATGCCGGGCCTTCAAGCTACAATTGAAACACCTATTTTCTCGTGGTTTATCTCCATCATTTGTGAAACTAGCTGTTTAGTTAATTCTTTTAGTTCATTTAGACCATTGTCACTGTGAGTTTATGTTTCAATACCACTTGACATGAAGATCCTGTAACTTTAGGATGGTATATTTAGTTGTTTATCTGTGACTTTAATGCAAACTGATCAGCTTCCTTTAAATATCTGCATCTATTTTGCTTCAGATTAATACTCATATCCTCGTTTGTTATTGCATCTATAAATTGGTAATGTCAACGAATCCATCATTTCACAAGACGTATCCAGATATAATAATTGGGCAAGTCTTTCTAAATCTTCTGTACACTTGGATGAATAATCATATTCCTCCGTATCCAGTTCTGGAACTGTGCTCTGCATACTTTCTTTTTCTGTGTCACTCCAAACTTGTTGGGTAAGGCAGTTAGTTACCAATCGTTGTTACTATGGCTCTCAGCTGGAATGTTTCTTAATGTCGGAAAAGCTGGTCCTTTTAGATGGGCAGTAAGATGAATACCTAGTTGTTCGCTATTCTACTTGATCACTTTGGAAATGATTTTAAGCTGAACATGGTATAGCTTCCATAGTACCTTTCCATCATAGTCAGTTTTTTGATTAGCCAGTGTTGAAGTGGCCAGCTGAATTTTGGAACTTAACTTGATAGCGTCGAGACTAGAGTAACCCAGGAAGGCGCTGCAGTTACAGATGGCACATAAGTAGTGGAAATAGGTGTAGACCAAATAAGTTCTCTTATTCCATATTTTGTAGTAAATAGTATTTGAGGTTGGAACACTTCAGCAAATGTAGAAAGAGGTGTAACTGATTTAAGTTTTGCATTTAATAATTCGTTTCCAGATCTTTAATTCTGTCACTGATATTCCTTTCTACTTCATTGATGTCTGTTTTTACACTATTCATGTCTTTTTTTTTTTACTTCTTCAGTTTTGTCATCATAGCCTCTATGTACTTCTTCAGTTTTGTTGTTGTAATCTCTCTGAACATCTCCAATAGCTTTATTGATTTTGTCTTCGTATCTCATGATCTTTTAATTTTCTGCACCTTTGTCTCTTTCCTTTAATTTTCTGTTTCTTTCTTCTTGACCTTCTTTTAATGCTCTATCTCTTTGTGTTATTTCCATTGTGATATCATCTCTAGCTAGTCTCCTATTTCGCTTTGAGTCCTTGTAGTAATCATGAAAACAGTAAGTTTAGTCAAAGTTCTATTATATTTTCAACAAAATAATCATTTTCTGACATCATTGTTCTACTGTCGTTCTTTCGAAGGGCGGGTTCTTTTAAATTATTTGGGTTAAATAATTCGAAGCCCAGTCCACATAATGATAACATACGAGTTTATTTCTTCCTTAACTTTTCTAGAAGCTTTTACACTGTTGTAACTTGTAGGTCTAACTTTGCAAATGACATTGAAATAGAAATACCTCACTAGTGGTGCTCTGAGTAACGTAAAAAGTAAACTTACAATTTTATGGCTAATCAACGAAGTAACTGAATGTACGCAATGACTAACACTGATCCAAATACTTCACTTAATGACTGGCACTACTAACTGAAAATTAAACACCGACTTTCTGCTGGCTTCAGTTGACTGGGTCACTGGGATATATATATATATACGATATCTCACTTCTTAATATTCATCAACGTTACAATGTTTTCATGATTTCATCTAGAATATTCTAGGTCTACTTTAACAGCATGCGCCATCTGGTTAACATCTAAAGTGAAACACCGAAAATATAGCTCATAACAGAACATCCTGTGGAATTTTGCGTTTCATGCACGTTCGTTTTAACAAATATTATAAAAAAAAAACTTTTAGTGCTTTTGGGTTGATATTTTGAAACAAAAAACATTTTTGTTTGTTTGTTTGAAGTTAAGTGCAAAGCTACACAATGGGTTATCTGTGCTCTGCCCACTACGGATATTGAAACCCGGTTACTAGCGTTGTATTGTAAATTTATTGCAAATGTCTTTGAAACTTTATTAGTATCACGAGCAGGGCACACCTGATAGATAAATATTTAAAAAATTGTTTAGTTTTTCGCTGTGTGACGAAATGAATACATTTTAATTTTTTATTCTTCAAGTCTCTACTGAGAAACAATTTTCGTATTAAAAAGAAAAACAAAAAATGGCGACATTCATCATCGTTTAAACTATTATCCAATGTAATTTAAAGGATCGTACTGAGTTTTATAGTATCGGTATTCTACTTTTACGCGACGTGCTACCCAGTGGTTCAGCGGTACGTCTGAAGGCTTATAACACTAAAAATCGGGTCTCGATACCTGTGGTGGGCACAGCACAGATAGCCCATTTTGTAAGTTTTTGCTTAACAGCAAATAAAAACATTACGTGATGTTAATAACAGTTGTGTATCATATGTAACACTGCCACGATAAAAAAAAAGGCCTTCGTACAAGCTAATAGGCTGTTTTCTCTTCGCTCTCACACTGTCCTTGACTCAAGTTTCAGGACTTTGAAGTACATGTGCATTATAAAGCATGTGATATTAATCCCCATGCAGATTTCTTCTTGATCGATAACTAGTAGCACTGTTATATACACCATTTCTAGTTATACATCGTATATTTCTGTCTTTTTTTAGGTAAGTCTTCAAAGAAGAATTACTTTAAGTTATATTAATTTTAGCACGAGTACGTGACAGCATAGATGCTTTATTGGTTAAATGGAAGTGTCGGATAATAACGTGTAGTAATTAATTTATTAAAACACTTTGAAAGGGTAACTTTTATAATCTGCAATAAGAATAAAATCTTAATTCACAGAACCTTATTGTGTTAAATATATTATATTAGGAAATTGAATTTAACATGAATCAAATAACACTTTTGAAAAACATAAATATTTTACTTTTTTACTAAAGTAATTTCAAGAAATGTTGCTTTGTAATTATAGTAGTTGTAGTTTAGTATTAAATTAAATATAGAATAAAATCTGAATAATATTTTACAATATGATTCTAATTTAAATAATTTTCTTGCACGTGGTAATATTAAAAACTGTGTATACTTATCTTTATTTACCATGACTAACTTTCATACAAATTATAAAATGTTAATATTTTAAAATTGCTATTTGCATATGAAAAGCTTTTGAATTTTGAGTAATAACTTATTCGAATTTCTGTGTTGTAAAAGTTATGTTTAAAGAAGACGAGAAACAGTTATAACACGGTTAATAGGTACGCAGCTTTAAATGAATTAAGATGCACAACAAAGGATTAAATATAATACAAAAAATGACATAAACAGCTAGAGTCATTTTATGAACCATCAAAATATAATGATATAAATACTGTAAAAGGTTTTGGTGACGTGTGAGACTGAATACCCAAAGTAAATTCATTTTTAATTGTTTCTAAAAGAATGAAAAACAACACTGCCTCAGTGATGTTGTAAAGCACATTAATTGCACAGATTTTTAACTACGAAGTTTAAAACATAGATTTTGTACAGTGTCTACAAAGCGCAAGACGTGAGTTTAAAACTTAAGGTTTAATATGCGACTAAAAATCTAGCAAGACATTCATAGGATGTGTTTACATAATATTAATATCTACTGAAAAATAATTACACCAGTAATCTTTTTGAATGTATTCTGTGTAGCATACTTTTTGTGTTAATTCTCTCTCCATCATTTATTATACAAGAGACAAACAAGACCACCCCCCCTGTGGCTCAGCGGTAAGCTTAAGGAATATAATGCTAAAAATCGGAGTTCGATACTTTCAGTGGTCACAGCGAAGGTAATCGCTGTATGGCTTTACGCTTAAAAGGAAACAAGAAAATCGGGCTAGCACCCGGCGTGGCCAGGTGGTTAGGACACTCGACTCGCAATCTGCGGGTCGCGGGTTCGAATCCCCGTCACATCCAACATGCTCGCCCTTTCAGC